GTTATTTTGAGGCAGCTGGTAAATTGCTTTTCATGAAATTCTCTCTTTTATTGAAACAGTCGCTGATAAACTTGGCAATTGTTTGGACGGTTTTAGAATTTTTGTTATTGAGAAGTGCTTTCAGATTACCGGATAAGTTTACTTTTTCAAACAAAGCATCTCTTTTAAATTTGTACAGGTTACAATTGAAGAGGAAGTGTTCTTCATCTTCAATTTCATTGGAGTCACAGACAGGGCATGTTCTATTTAAGATATCTATGTTGTGATATCGCCCAACTTCAATCTGAAGTATGTGGGCACTTATCCTCAGTTTAGTCATAGATGATCTGTGGATGGGGTTTTTAATAATTTCAAGGTATTTTTCAAATGCAAAATCAGTTTTCAGCTGGCAATTCAAAAGATCTGAAGGAAACTCACAATCTGGGCATGTCACACCCCAAAATTTGTGGTTTATACCCTAAAGCACCCCAACACTTATACCTGTTTGCCTAATTTGAGGAGGCATAATTTGGATGTGCTTTAAATGCATAGTTAAATGGTGTGGTTTTATCAGGGCTACTATAGTGTGTGATCAGCAGACCATATAAATTGGTACAACTAAGTTTTATTTGTTCAACATACAATAAAAGTCTGTTGGTCATAAATACCCTGACTCAATGAGAAACCACTATAATATATACTATAATGTTTATACCCAGTATATAGCCATTACAAACGAAAAACTGAACAATGGAATTTGCATAGCTATTTAATGAGTGATTGTGAAGTGAGTTGCACGTACTACTTTTCCACAATGTTAAAAAACTGTTAAAATGTCCACTTTGTTTTTGACATACAGTATAAATGGAACCCCTGTATATAAACTACTTCTTAATGCATCTAAACTTATGTCTAAATATAATGATCCATAGATTTCATTATCTAAAATCTAAATCTTCATATCACCAAGTCACCAATCATAGAACCTTTTCTCACATATTACAATAAACTGAATTTTAAATTAAATAATAACCATTCTGGGTAATCATGCTGGATTCACTAGATCTGTTATGTGCTCATTCATATATGTTTATCATACAACACAAAAAAAAGAAAAGAACCAAATCCAGAAAGAGTATGAATTCAAAGCTTCTAAAATGTCGAATTTTCATTTTTGTTTTTTTATATCAATATTGTAAAAATTAAAACATATCACACAAATGAGCATTGTAATAAAATATATATATACCTGCTAAATTGATTTTTTGCAGAGATATCTGTTTTGTGTGAAAGCAAATCTTCCCCTCTTCCCCATACACAACGTTCTTGAATCTGGTTTTAAATGATTACTATCGTACATTCACAAATATTTTAACTACACTTCTGATCCTTCAAAGCATATTTGGCACTCAGCAACTATGCTATTTTTTGTCAAGTCAAATATTAATGTTGTTAATGTATGACTAAATTGTAGAGTTGCACAAAGGATTAACTTTTACATTACTCTGTAAAAAAGCTCTGTATTGTCGCTCACAAATCAAGCTTAGAGGCAAGATTGAATTATACTATGTATAAACATTGCCGAGGCACAAAACCACAAGTAACTGTTAAAAAAAACATTTGATTTCTATCAATAATAATATCTGATCTCATCCTTTTTTAATTGTCCTTGAGTTTTCTTTTTTACCTAATTTTGATTTTCAGATGCAAGCTATTGTTGAGCTATGTAATGTGACAAAGAATATGTGTGCAATTTCTAAAGGACCTGGCAATGAGGATGACATGACAGGTAAGGGTGAAACAGAGATATGACATGCAGATCAACAGGTGGTGGAGATATGACATACAGATCAACAGGTGGTTGAGATATGACATACAGATCAACAGGTGGTAGAGATATGACATACAGATCAACAGGTGGTTGAGATATGACATACAGATCAACAGGTGATTGAGATATGGCATACAGATCAACAGGTGATTGAGATATGGCATATAGATCAACAGGTGATTGAGATATGACATACAGATCAACAGGTGGTAGAGATATGACATACAGATCAACAGGTGATTGAGATATGGCATACAGATCAACAGGTGATTGAGATATGGCATATAGATCAACAGGTGATTGAGATATGGCATATAGATCAACAGGTGATTGAGATATGAAATACATACAGATCAACAGGTGGTTGAGATATGGCATACAGATCAACAGGTGATTGAGATATGACATACAGATCAACAGGTGGTAGAGATATGGCATACAGATCAACAGGTGATTGAGATATGTCATGTAGATCAACAAGTGATTGAGATATGGCATATAGATCAACAGGTGGTTGAGATATGACATACAGATCAACAGGTGGTTGAGATATGACATACAGATCGACGGGTGGTAGAGATATGGCATACAGATCAACAGGTGATTGATATATGTCATACAGATCAACAGGTGGTAGAGATATGACATATAGATCAACAGGTGGTAGAGATATGACATTCAGATCAACAGGTTATTGAGATATGTCATACAGATCAACAGGTGGTCATGTTCATTAGGGCCAAACAAAAAAATACATTGAAATATACAAAATATATGCATCAACATTTCGGTGGAAAAAAAATATTTTTTTATGTTCATCAGATTCAGATAACAGTGGGCTACTTGGTTTACCTGGTCCGCCTGGTCCACCTGGTATCATTGGTCGTCCAGGTGACAAAGGTGAACCTGGTAATGATGGATTAAATGGTTTACGAGGAGATAAAGGTGAGAAGGGATTTATGGGACCAGAAGGTCCACCTGGATTAAAAGGAGATATTGGAATGCCAGGTATGTCTATGTATTATTTGTGGTAATTTCAATAACATTTTATTTCACCATGTTTGTTTTAGACAGATATCACTATGATTTTATTAGATAGCTTATTTGTCTTGTTCAAACAAAGTCCAACAACTGGAATTTACTGATTATGCATTAATTTGCCTCAACCAATTATATTCAAACTTTACACATACATCAAATATCTTGGGATACATATCCATTATTTTTCATGACTAAATGGTAGTATTTTTTTTCTTTCTGTTCTGAACCAGATCGATCGTACATGCATATGAATAGATTTTCTGACATTAAGGATCTTTATGTTTTTTTTTTTTCCCAGATAGGATACTAATTAGCCTACTGGCAGCCATTTTGTTTTAATAAAGGCGATTTCGGAGTCATATTTCTAACATGCTTTGACAAACCATATATCATGACACACATGCATACACATGTTTGTTTGATGATACAAGATGGTCGAATGGAGGCCATTTTATTGTTAAAAATGCATTTCTACCATTTTGTACCTGTGTCCTGGTCAAACCTATGGGCGGCTGTTGTTCAAACTTGGTACATACATTGAACATACCATAGTAGGACGTTAATGTTCAGTTCAGATTCAAATTGGCCAAATGACATGCCTTACATACTCAGTTTCACTGTGTTTAGCATAGAAAGCACTATGTTTGATTTAGACAACTTATTTCACGGTTTGGTTTTGACTTGTTTCACTGCTAAGCTTCACTGTGCTCAATTTAGGCAGACTTCACTATGGTCAGCTCAGATACCTTATTTCATTGCTCTGTTTAAATAGATATCAATTTCACTGATTGATTTGGCAGGTTTTACTCTGTTCGGTTTAGACAGGTTTCACTGTGTTTGGTTTAGCCAGATTTCACTGTATTCAGTATAGGCAGATTTCACTGTGTTTAGTGTAGGGTAGATTTTACTGAGTTCAGTGTAGGCAGATTTCACTGTGCTCAATGTAGGCAGATTTGACTGTGTTCAGTGTAGGCAGATTTCACTGTGCTCAATGTAGGCAGATTTCACTGTGTTCAGTGTAGGCAGATTTCACTGTGCTCAATGTAGGCAGATTTCACTGTGTTTAGTGTAGGCAGATTTCACTGTGCTCAATGTAGGCAGATTTCATTGTGTTCAGTGTAGGCAGATTTCACTGTGTTCAGTGAAGGCAGATTTCACTGTATTCAGTGTAGGCAGATTTCACTGTGCTCAGTTTAGACAGGTTTCACTTAAACATATTTCAGTGTGTTTCGTCTAGACAGATTTAATAGTGTACATCGAGACAGATTTCAGTGTGTTCGGTTAAGACAGATTTCACTGTGTTCAGTGTAGGCAGATTTCTTTATGTTCAGTTTAATCAGATTCAGTGTGTTTGGTTTAGACAGATTTCACTGTGTTCAGTGTAGGCAGATTTCACTGTGTTCAGTGTATGCAGATTTCACTGTGTTCAATGTAGGCAGATTTCACTGTGTTCAGTGTAGGCAGATTTCACTGTGTTCAGTGTAGGCAGATTTCACTGTGTTCATATTGGACAGATTTGAGTGTGTTCAGTATAGGCAGATTTCAGTGTTTGGTTTAGGCAGATTTCTTTATGTTCAGTTTAAACAGATTTAGTGTGTTCGGTTTAGAAAGATTTCAATGTGTTCAGTACAAACAGATTTCACTATGTTCGTTCTAGACAAATTTCATTGTGTTCAGTGTCATCAGATTTTACTGTGTTTGGGTCAGACAAATTTAAGTGTGTTTGGTGTAAGAATATTTCGCTGGGTTCGATAAAGCCAGGTTTCAATGCGTTTATTTTTAGGCAGATTAAAGTGTGTTCAGTGAAGGCAGTTGTCAGTGTGTTTGGTTTACACTAGTTTCATTGTATGCATAAATTACCAACGTCCTAGATACTCAATCTTGCAGAACCCACATTTTAATTTCTACAGGTGTGAATAATATTAAAGGTGAAAAAGGTTCACCAGGTGGGGTGGGTGATACTGGTAAACAAGGACCTAGAGGAAACCGAGGCAAAAAGGGTGCCACAGGTATTCTACTCACAGAAATCTACATTTCCTAACAATCCCATCTTTCAACCCACCCTTTCCTTTTGTATTAGCATGCATCATCCATAGTATCCTGAAACAATCTGCATGATTCCTTATCCTATAGCGCCCTCATAAGTGTAATTACAGTTTGTTTTTGTTTTTACTCTGCCCTCAATTACAAAACTAATGATACTTTTTATTTTTATTAAAAAAAAAAAAGAGATGGGTGGATAACTCATAACATGAATATTCAACTACATTCACATATAACATTTTCTTTTCAGTTTAATGGTATATTTATTGGTGTAGAGCCAGTATCTGTTAACTAATATTAAACATTTATTATTACTGTAAAATATTTTATTTTAGCTGGAATTACGGTAATTTTCGCTGAAAAGACTTTTTGGGTGTTTTGTATGGATTTTATTTTCACTGATTTTTGATGAGTTAAATGTAAAATTTAGAAAAAAAAAGTATATTCACTGGATTTTATTTTCACTGAATCATTCCTTCAGCGAAAATAGCGAAAATTAATTCCAAACGAAAATAAACTATTATACAGTAACTAGAATTCCCAGACTTATGTGTTGATATAACCCAGGTGATAAACCATATTGACCATACTCCATTCCTCATACTTGTATAACATAGTCGTCTTCCTTGTCACTAACCAGTATTTTGAACTATTTTTTGTATGCAGATTACTTGTACTGTGTTTGGGGTATTAAACAGAACATTTCCCAGTGCAGTGCATGTTCAGTTATAGGATCCAAGAGATATAAATTATAATCGAAAGCAGTGGTTTGATCATTTCATTTACCACTACCATATTTTCTGTGTAAGAATTAAATGCACACTGGTATCCAGCTTGAAAAACCAAAATATTTGTTGAATTAGCACTGCATCAATTTACAATTTCATATCTAATGCTAGTAGTTATATATACAAGTCTGTATTCACTTTTGATAGGGCTGATATGGTAAATGCTATTTTTATTTGAATTGACAAGATATACAAATATCAATACGATTTATTCCTAGGGCTCAGAGGACCTCCAGGATTCAATGGAACCTGTTCACCATGCTTGGCTGGTCTAGAAAATGAGGGAAAAAACTCAGGTGTGACATATTTATTTTTTAACACATTAATTACATTTTTCCTCATAATAGAGGTATGTACAGGTACCTCAAAAGTGTGTCTGCGGGTGAGTTGTGCGGGCATGCAGAGGCCACAACACTGATGTCTACGTATTGATCTGCAGGTATGTTCTTGGGCATGCAGATGCCACACAAGATTAGTCTGCGTGTAATATTGATTCTTTTGTTTTATCACAATAAATAAAATCCAAGATTCAAAGTTCGTTTCTGTTTAATTAAGCTAGCAATATCAAATATCAACTTGATTAACAAACTCTTTACATCTACAGTTTGGGTTTCAGATTTGGATCAATTTACACAATAACTAAAAATCCAAAATCAAAGTTACTAACAAAAATTTTAATCTTTACATTTTTGAAACATAAATATACAGTAATCATTTTTAGAAAATTTACAGCGACATATTTGAAGCATCACCATTTTGCTATTGAATTTCTGTAATTTACTTATTATTTTAACAACTTTTCTCACCTGTTACAAAAATCATTTCCAATTTTTTTCAAAAATGTGGACCAATACAAGAATTTGTTTGTTTATTTATTTCAAGATTAACGAAGAAACTAACCAAAACACCTACAAATTTATCAAATTATGTTGTTTAAACTCAAATTTTACTTAAACCTATTCAATTTTACTACTATAGTGCATATTGCATCGGTTTGCCAGAAATGGCAGTGTACCTTTATCACACTCTAGTTGTGTATATATCACTGTAATTTGTATCTGATCCACAGACGGTGGTAATGATGCTATAGTAACTGGTCCACCCGGTCCACCCGGTCCACCAGGTGAAAAAGGTGACACAGGTATGAAAGGTGACCAAGGAGAAAAGGGAGATATGGGAGAACCTGGTATCGAAGGAGAAATGGGGAATGATGGATTGGATGGAGAAATGGGTCCAGAAGGCCCACCTGGACAGAAAGGAGAAATGGGCGAGGATGGAATGGATGGAGAAATGGGACCAGAAGGCCCACCTGGACAGAAAGGAGAAAAAGGATCTGATGGAAAACAAGGAGTTCAAGGAATTGATGGAAACGATGGATTACCTGGAGTCAAGGGTAATACAGGAGATAAAGGAGAGAATGGTTCGAGGGGAATGGATGGAATTCCGGGAGTACCAGGGTTGCCAGGACTACCAGGAGAAGCAGGTGAATGACCCCTAGACAAGTAAATAAGAATTCATAAAATGTCTTTAATGTATTTTACCCATGCCTCAATACATTTATTATCTATTATTTATTTATTTTAAGAATATATTGAAGATGATGAGGATATTGTTGCCAGTGGTATAATCATAACTGGACCCCCTGGCCCTCCTGGCCCACCAGGTCCACCTGGACCACAAGGGCCTATAGGTCAAGGTGAGAAAGGTGATACTGGTGAAATTGGTCCAATGGGACTCACTGGACCAAAAGGTTTACCAGGACAAGATGGAGTTGATGGAGACCCAGGCCAGAAAGGAGAAAAAGGGGAAATGGGGAATGATGGAGAAGCAGGAGATATTGGGCTACCTGGCATGAAGGGAGAAATGGGATCCCCAGGTGAAAGAGGAATAATAGGACAACCTGGTTCAGATGGGATGCCTGGAGTTCCAGGACAAAAAGGAAATGATGGAGTTATGGGTGATAAAGGAGAAAAGGGAGATCTCGGTATTCCTGGAGTACCAGGGCCAATTGGTCCTGAGGGCAAGAAGGGTGACTCTGGAAAAGATGGAAATCCAGGAATTCCTGGGTTACAGGGGATAGGTGAACCAGGAAAAGATGGGAAAGATGGAAATCCAGGATCACCTGGAATACCTGGGATAGGTGAAACTGGAAAAGATGGTCCTCAAGGATTGCCTGGAGTACCCGGATTAGATGGACAAAAAGGTGATAAAGGGGATAAAGGTGAACCTGGAAAGGATGGTAAAGATGGGGAAGATGGGATGACAGGTCCAGTGGGACCAGAAGGTCCCAGAGGAAGAAAAGGTGATGAAGGAGCTGTTGGTGAACAAGGTGAAAGGGGACTAAAAGGAGCTAAAGGAGCATCAGGTATTGATGGTTATCAGTTTACAATATAAATACACTATGTACACTTAAGGTTGAAACTTATCCATTATTTTGGAAAAAGTCATAAATCACATGACAATGTCAATTTATTATGTACAATCATGGAGCTATTGTTCTATTACACAATAAAATAGCATTATTTTGTGTTACAGTTTTTTTTTTTTGAGAAACAATTCTTAAAAGCCAGATATAAAAAAATAATTCAAGGCAACGAGTACCCGACCATTAACAATTTATAATTTTTCAGCCTATGTTACAATTTTAAATATGGCATAATTTGTTATGTTATGTTCTAAAAAAATTTTTTTATAACATGTCATGTACATAGGCCAATAGTTTGATTCTCATTGGTACTTGTGTAATTTTTATATACCATACTGAATCTGCAGACATGTAATAAAACTAATTATATATTTTTAGGAGTGATGCCTGGAGAAGGATTGCACCCAGGAACTACTAACAAATGTAAGAATTTCTGTTAACACTTATTTCATATGTGTGAAACTACTTGATAGAATTATTTGTATTAATACAAAAATACAAAACACTCAGATGTGAACATTTAGCAATGGTCATTACATGTGACACTGTCTGAAAGACCCAAGTTAAATATAACTAACAAAACATCCTTTATTTGCGAAAATTTTATTGTACTTTGAGCACCATATATTTTCTACTAGTAGTAACAACTTTATATTCTTATTCACCAGTCCACATGGACAGACAATTTTTACATTTATCCATCCAAGGTAAAATTTGCCTGTCTAGAACAGGTACACATGCCTTCATTTTGACCTTTGTGATGTGACCACAGTGTCAGCATATTGTAAAACATGTTGAAAAAGCGGCATGCAATTTTAGCTAATTGTGGTAAAATGACGTAATAGCGAAATGTTGATTTAGCGAATCTCTCTTGTCATTGTTGATTTCCTGTTCTCACAATACTAGTCTGTTGCGTGCCAAAACAAATGCACAGTTATCACCTCCATAAAAACAAAGAAAAACTGTCAAGTGTAATTCTGTTTGCAATGATAAAAAAGTGATTCAACAGGGATTTGAAAAAGCAGGTATCGTTGCTGCATTACATCCAGAACATTGACTTTTTATATTGGATTGGAGCTCAAAAATTACTAAGTACTACTAATTTCCGTAATAATATATCAGTATCGCTTCATTTATTTATTTTCATTGAAATAATGACCACAATGAATACGTTTATTTTTTTGTGTTAATTTACTTTTCAATAAAGTGTATATCATGTAAATATGTTTTTTTTGTTTGTTTACAAAGTGTTTGTGTAGAAAAAAAGACGTTGTTTGGCGGCCATTTTGAATTTATAATAAAGTCATTAGCGACATCTTGAATTAGCGAATCAGTTCTCTCGCTAAATTCGCTAAAACGACATGCTCGCGAAAAAGACAAGTTTTAAAGTTTATAAGATGTTTAGTCAAACCAGTATACAGTAATATGTTTAATCTTTCAGATGATACAGTTATAGAAATTAAGCCTACAGAAGAACCCAAATTGTTGAGACCACAGAATACATGCAAGTATATTCATTTAATTTATTAAACTATCTAGAATCGAAAAGAGTAGAATTTGTTGTTATATAAAAAGCTGATCAGCACTCGTTCCAAATGTATCAGCAAACACTTTACTTGTTTGCATTGGACGCAAAAGCGACGTAGCGTGCGACGGAAATATAATCCTGTCACTGACCACAAACATGCTTACTGCACAAAACATTTTTTGCAGGCTTTATCTCACATTAAATTATTACTACAAGAGAAAAAGATGCATAATAATAAGGATTTCACGTGAATACTCAAAGTATGCACACAGGCAGTACGGTTATTGCATTTATCTCCTCTACTTGTCATTTCAGCTCACTATACTGACTTCCTAAATACTTTGTGATATTCTTGTGATAAGCTCATATTATTGGCACACATGACATCATACATAAAAACAATATAATAAACTGGAACTGTAACCTTAATTTTCTTCCAAACTGATGTCAGTTGAAAATTGTTGATACATTTCCTATTTTTAAATAAATTTTGACAGTGGTGAAAATCTATCAATATTTTGGCATAATTTAATTGTGAAAATGTCTTGAAAATGTCAATCAATAATTTTTCAAAACATAATTCCATTATTTTTTATTACTAGATTGTGAATTGAAAAGTGTTAGAAATCCCGAGACATTTTTCAAGATGGGAGCTTACTGGGGAAGTTGGATGATGGATCCACTTGTGATAAGTGATAAAATCTGGACTATGTCTCACTTTAATGGCAACATAATGAAAGGTAAGATCAGCAGGGATAAGAGTTGCATGTAAATACTGAAAATAAATTAATTTTACACATTACAAATATTCACAATATATAGTTTACTACTAGTAATAAGGAAACACATTGTAATAACAGAGGGTTCTGTAACAATGATAGTGAACACTAAAACTGATAGAGGGTGCTTAATCATTGATAGCACAGTGATGAGGAGTGCTATGTCATTAATAGATGGCACTTTAACAAATAATAGAGGGTAACAATGATAGAATGTGCAGTCCACCCGTGCTGCCCGAGCAGGTTCATCGTATCGCGCTTATTGCTGGTAAAATGAAAACAATTTAAATATGTAACAAAAGCGGCTTCCAGAAATGACTACTCTGGTGATATGTTATCCAAAGCATTTTTGTCAATAAACAGTCTGAAAATGGAATAATTGTCTCTGCGTACAGTATTGTAATCACAAGACTGTTATGTCAGGCTGTTGAACACTGCGCTACAATGCTTATGCTGAACCACAAATATTCATACTATGTGATACCGAAAGTAAAAAACGGAATTTTAGATGACAAAACAATTATTAACTGTAAATTTTGAAGTATTTGAAGATTTGTGAGGTATGTATAAGGGTCAATAAACTAACTCTGCAACGTGATCGTGTGACTCGAAAGGGTTGCAGTGTCACTCGGTGAAGAGCACGATTCCCATTGGTGGGTTGGTCGAAAAGCGTGAATCCCAATGGTTGATCAATGCCCATATTACTTCAATTTTTATTTACAGTGTAAGGGTTTACCGCATGCCTTATAGAAAGTTTTAAATACTTATTTTGCTTATTAACTGCTTGCGAACTATGGTGATCTACTGGCGACATACCGCACTGTTCAGTGATCGGCAAACACATGGACCAAACAAATGTTACATGGTTTACGGTGATTAGACACATCACACCGCTAGCTAGAAAAGTGAAATACCAGGTAGGGTAACATGCACATAGGTATTGACTGCCTATTTACAGTGTAACGTTAATGCCATCTTGGGGGTTGTAAAGCTTCTTCCCAATGACTAAGCTCATAGCATAGGCGGCAGCTTCAAGGAGAGTGGAACGCAAAATACTTTTCACACGTTCTACATTTTGAAAACAACTAATTTCTTGAATTAAAAAAAAATCATGCTGTTTTCCCATCAAAATAAAAGCCAAAAGATTTTTCTACAACATCAGCAAATCTCTTCCGTGTTGAGTTCATTAACCATATTCACCATATTTAACTGAGCTGAGCTATTTGATCACTATGGCATCATCCAGCATTTTGATTGGTTAATTAGCAATTTAGTCAAATTGCTACAAGGTGTAGTTTATCCATTTACTACTAGTAAATCAAATCAGATCAGGTCAACTCGTGTAAAAGAAAACACATGGCGGATAACATATCGCATAGAGCATGTGATCGGAATCATTCGCTTACGATGAAACTAAATTGAATTTTACTTGCATTTTGTAACAATTCAACGAATTTATTTTTTGTACGTTATTATAAAAGAGTTTTCGTTTGTTAACATTTTGTCGCCTGCCGATCGACAGGAGAGTTAGTTTGATGAACTGAGTAAAGGTTATTTCGTGATGAAATTATTTTTTTTTCTAAATTACAACTATTTTACCTTTTACAGAGCGTTTTACGACAAAATAATTATCAACGAAATATTTAAAATCTTCTTTACCAGGAGTAATAAATCAACACGAGATCTCTCTAATAACAAAAATACTCAAATAATTGGCATACTGAAAGTGGTGTTTCAACAAAAAATGGAGGTGTCTGGTGGCAGAAATACTTTTGGTGCTCTGACCACAAGGATCTCTAGGAAAGAGAATGACTGTGACCATTTCACAGAGTGCGATAATCAACATTCAGCAAGTTGCGTTATCACGTCGCAGAGTTAGTTTTTTGACCCCCTTACATACATGAAATTTATGTATAAACCAAGTTTCAAACTAAATGTTATTTCTACTAAAAATAGTATGCATGTCTGTAACAATCATATTTTACAAAAATAGAAAAAAGGTTTTCAGAAAAATAACACTGATTTAATTTGCTTTTCTATAGAATGGAACAACATTGATGAGTTGAAAACTAAACAAGGTAACAAAGATTACAGACTACCGGAACATTGGGAAGGTACCGGTCATATTGTATACAACAACTCAGTATACTACCATGTGGCCCGCACCAGAGATATTGCAAGATATGATATGATAACTGAACGCATAGTAGCAAGAAATAAACTACAGGGAGCTGGATTTCGTGACACTAAATATCTTTATGCTACGGAGTATACATATATAGACTTGGAGATAGATGAAACGGGTCTGTGGGCTATTTATAGCACATCTCAAAGCAAAGGAAATATGGTGATAAGCAAGCTTGACACACTTGATTTGAGCGTTATTCGAACAATAAATACAGACTATGAAAAACGTGCTTCCGGTGATGCTTTCATTATCTGCGGCGTACTCTACTCAACAAAGAGTCCTAGGGTGAAAGAAACAACCATTAATTTTGCATATGACCTGTTTAGCGGAAAGGTGTTAGATGACCTGGATATACCATTTAGGAATGAATATGGTCTGAATGCAATGGTCTCCTACAACCCATATGAACAAGTAATCTACTCATGGAATAATGGCTACTTAGTGAAATATCCACTGGAGCTAGAATTTTAAATCTAAATATGCCACATGCAGAACTAGGCCTGAGACTAAGTTTAGCTATTGTACAATTGATGACATTATATTAAGTTCTATGTGAGGAAACATTCAGGACAACTCAACTCTAAGGAAACACTTGCCATACAATTACACACCTACTACTATACAAGGAAATCATTACCATACAATTACACACCCACTACTATACAAGGCAATAATTACCATAAGATTACACACCCACTACTATATAAGGGAATAATTATCATACAAATACACACCAACTACTATATAAGGAAATCATTATCATGCAAATACACACCTGCTACTATATAAGGGAATAATTACCATAAGATTACACACCCACTACGATATAAGGAAATCATTATCATGCAAATACACACCTACAAGCATATAAACATGCCATATAAAGAATTATTTCCATGAAAATTACTAATTCATAAAAAATCGTGTTTATATACTCAAAATATGAATGAAATGGCATTTACTACTAACTATGTGCCAATGGTTTTGTGAATGAAAAAATTATACAATATTGCATTTTTTTTTATATAACTAACGTTATAGATTTCATAGATATATGCATTAAGTTGGTGAACTGGTGTTTAATTTAATCAAAAAAGAATGGCTGATATTTTTGTTATATTATTGTTGAGTTGAAAGACACATTTTAATAATTGCAATGAAATACTAAATAGCATGATAGGCATGGTGTACTTATTCAAAGGCTATCCAAGAAACCCCAGAAATGTTTTTTTTTTCATGAAATACATTAAGATAACGTTTAGAGACTGACAGTAGTATGTTTCACAAAGTAGATCTGCTACAAGGGTATTCTTAACAATTACATATTTGTATATATGGTATTTATGTAACAATTTACATTTGCATAGATAGGATTTATAATGTAGCATGGAACATTTGCATAGAACGTTTGCATTTTACTATATATGGAATTCATATAACATGTAATATTTGTGTATTACTATATATGGAATTCATATAGCATGTAATATTTGCATATTTCTATATATGGAATTCATATAGCATGTAATATTTGTGTATTACTATATATGGAATTCATATAGCATGTAATATTTGCATACTACTATATATGGAATTCATATAGCATGCAACATTTGCATATTACTATATATGGAATTCATATAGCATGTAATATTTGCATACTACTATATATGGAATTCATATAGCATGCAACATTTGCATATTTCTATATATGGAATTCATATAGCATGTAATATTTGTGTATTACTATATATGAATTCATATAGCATGTAATATTTGCATACTACTATATATGGAATTCATATAGCATATAATATTTGCATACTACTATATATGGAATTCATATAGCATGTAATATTTGCATACTACTACTATGTATGGAATTCATATAGCATGCAATATTTGCATATTACTATATATGGAATTCATATAGCATGCAACATTTGCATATTACTATATATGGAATTCATATAGCATGTAATATTTGCATACTACTATATATGGAATTCATATAGCATGTAATATTTGCATATTACTATGTATGGAATTCATATAGCATGTAATATTTACATACTACTATATATGGAATTCATATAGCATGCAACATTTGCATATTACTATATATGGAATTCATATAGCATGTAATATTTGCATACTACTATGTATGGAATTCATATAGCATGTAATATTTGCATACTACTATATATGGAATTCATATAGCATGTAATATTTGCATACTATGTATGGAATTCATATAGCATGTAATATTTGCGTACTACTATGTATGGAATTCATATAGCATGCAACATTTGCATACTACTATATATGGAATTCATATAGCATGCAACATTTGCATAATACTATGTATGGAATTCATATAGCATGTAATATTTGCATACTACTATGTATGGAATTCATATAGCATGTAATATTTGCATACTACTATATATGGAATTCATATAGCATGTAATATTTGCATACTACTATATATGGAATTCATATAGCATGCAACATTTGCATATTACTATATATGGAATTCATATAGCATGTAATATTTGCATACTACTATATATGGAATTCATATAGCATGCAACATTTGCATATTTCTATATATGGAATTCATATAGCATGTAATATTTGTGTATTACTATATATGGAATTCATATAGCATGTAATATTTGCATATTACTATATATGGAATTCATATAGCATGTAATATTTGTGTATTGATATACATTTAACATTTAATAATATACGGCATTATCACATCCCAATTTTTTGTTCTGAATTGACAATAGAAATATTGAATACAAAACTGAAATAACTCACTACAAACTACTAACATTTAAGAGTCTGTTCATCTATCAGAAATGTATTCATCTTTTATTTGATATGCCATCAGTTGTGGAGGAAAGGTAATTACTGGTATGATAGATTATCCATGGGAAAGAATTTTATAAAGATAATTATAACAAGGGTGCTGTAAAACATTACTATAGATGTATTATGATTTGAAATGTGTTCTATATAACCTAATAATATCAGAGAAATTATTTAAATTTTAATATTGCATGTGCGTTTAAGAGAGAATTTTAAATATATTTTTTGCTACAGTTCTTTTGTACATGTTTGCGTTGGAATGTATCATGACAGTTGACTTTCTGTATAATCCACTTGTATCAGCCAACAATACTGATAACTACTTACTGTATGTATATTAATTAAAAATAATTATCTATTTTAGTAACAAAAGCGCTTTTTTCTACGAAATAAAATATGTTTTTTACCACAAAGATACCTTATTGACTTGAGCCATTACTTATGTAATTCAGCACTTTTAAAAATTCACTATGAGGAACTTTTGCAAGGATATTATTAGAATAGTCACTTCGTGAAATGCGA